TGAAAACGAAACGAAAGGTTAGAAAAAGAAGGCGTTTGAAGAGATCAACAAAAGGTGTTAATAAGAAAACGAAGCGACAAAACAGATAATCTTCAGTTGTTGTTCCGCAGAGTTGAATCAACACACACTATAGTTCTGCGGGTAACAAACACAAGGTGCTTTGGGTGGCCAAATCAGAGAGCGTGTAGCGAGGAGCACCCATTCTTCAAAACATTTCCACCTTGCATTGAACTTGCCTCATTTCTCTCACCATTTTCCTCGCAATCTCGCTCAGGTATTTTTCAATTTACATGGTTATTTTTACAATTGACCTTTTCTAAATCTACATAATTTATAAGTGAAGTATATGTGGGTGTTGCTATGTTGGTATGCTAGCTGCCATTTGAATAATTGCAGCAAAAATTGGAAATTGTTAATTGAAAAGTAACTAATTCATTGGCAGATGAGATTTATCTCTTATGCAACTCGGAAAGCAGGATACAACTCCGCATTTAAACAAGTGTCATTTTGCAAACAAATAATGATCACCATTGTGGCAAAACTAACTAATTCCTTTTCAAACGTCCCTCGCGGCTGTGCTTCCAAACTGTTCATGAGGGGATACAGTCACGTCAATCCATCGGCGTACTCCTAAAAACTGAAGCATAAGTTTTTGGTACTTAGTCTGACCAAATTTAATTGAACTGTCATTTATGAAATTGAACTCTGCTGTAAAATTAATTTTTATCAATTTTTCAATCAAATTGATGTTGGAATTTCCCATTTTCGGACACCTGATATTTGTGAATTAGATGGGCGGGCTAACTAAAAAACCCACGGATCCGCAATGCAATCTTCTTCCTTGCAAAAAGGCTTCCCTGATATCACGCAGAGTTGATATTTTTAGTGCTCTCAAAAATTGATTATTGTACTTAGGACGATTGAATAGATGCTAAAATGTGAATGGTATGATCGGATAGTAGATCGTCTATGACAATAAATATAATGTCGAACTATGATTTAAGGGGGTGGGGGTCTCACGCCTCTTCAATTTCTGGGGTTCAACCAGCTGATCCCCCCATGGATACCCCTTTTGGTAATATTTAACGCTGTCAGTCCGTTTTTGATATTCCAAAAACGTTTTTTTTTGAGTGATTATATTTCCAAATTCACCTACAGCGCAAAAACATGGTAAATGAGGACCTATTTATGTTTACGGAGAGCTCGCAAAATCAATTCAAATCGTTTTCAGTGCTCAGATGAACCGTCACTTGCCAAACATCGAGACGTGATACACTCATTTCAACTTGATAGCAAGAGTGACCGAGTTTTCTATTATTAGCCCCGGCCCTAATTTCTCTCTTTTCTACTTTGGACCTTGCCTCCGTAGGTAGGGGAGAGTGATCTCATCCATTTCCCAGTAGTCGGTCCACCTTGAGGAGGCGGATGACACTGGGACCCCTCCAACCGTGATCAAGTGGGAATTTGAAACCTTGACCTTCGTGTTTAAGGCCGCGCCTCTTGACCACTCTGCCACGGCCGCTCAAGAGTGACCGATCGTCAAAGGTGGACAGAGTACGTTTTATCACTAACCATTGCAGCCTAATTGTTTGAAAACCAGTATGGAAATATATTATGAAAAACATTAGTTAGAGTTATATCTGCTTCAATCATTAAAAACTCTGTGGTGCCCATAAATAAGCCGATAAAAATAGAGAAATCGATAACTGACTTTTTCAAGCCAAAAAGTTATAATTTAGGATAGTAAAGTGCATGGTGAACTTGAACAAGAGAACTTTTTGTCAAATTCACGGCGGACGCTAAATTTGTTTCGAATGTGCTTAGTCAGATATTGTAATTACTACTAAGTGAGAATTCTGAAGAAAGAAGACTGAAGAAGACAAGAAAGTAAAGTATTTTACACTGTTAGTATTTTAGTAAACAGTCTACAATTCTTTTTGGATGAGGATATACCCTAGACTCGCTAAATAGGTTACTAGAGCCCTGTTACGGAATAGGTAATTACTGCTCAGCCACCAATTTCTCATGAACCTGCAGAAAACTTAACTGATGTGAAAAAATCCGATTAAGAGTCTCTTGCTCTCGCAAGTGTAACACGGAGGCAAAACTGCGCATCACAAACGCAAGCAATTAAAAGGCTAAGAGGAGCTCTATAAAGGGAAAACAACGTGAAATAAAGAACATAGCCAATCGAAGATTGGAAAAGAGTAATGAACGCAAGTCAACACTGACTTAGAAAATCTCAACTTTCGAATTTCAAAGAAAAAAAAGAGATGCCCTATAAGCTTTTTGAATTTCTAAAACGATTTATGATTGGCGCTTTTTTGATAGCATTAACCCACCTTAAGAAAACTGGATCAACAGGTAGAGTTTTATAATCCGCTGGAAATCTAAAAAAAATAAATTCCAACTACGAAACTAGAAATCATTTACGAATTTTTGCGCCATTTGCACGTTCGTATTTGGAGAAAGCTAATTACGTCACTTTCAGCAGATGAATTTCAATTGAGCTCAAAAAATGCATATATACCTAGGTGCATCAATTTTTTAAGATTTCCTGAAAAAAAAATAGCAAGACCTATATAAGAGTCTTCACTACGTTCATTATTCTTAAAAAAGAAAAGATACAAAAACACATTGAATTTTTTGCTGATATTAGGAGTACCACGGCCTCACATCTGCTCCACGACCGCTTGTAATTTAACAAACAATAGGCACGTATAAATCAGCCACATTTGCTATCAAATTGTCATGGCTATGCAGCAGAAGTTCGACCAAATAAAAAACTATTTGAATATTCCGGATTTGAAGCTCGACCTGTACATTTGTAGTCTCACGTCCTCGCATTTGCGCCACAGTCGCTTAAAGTAAACTAATGGCCCAGCTAATTGTAGGTGAACCTCTTTAAAAATTTTATCACATTTTGTACTGATGCGCAAATGCGCTATTTTCAAATTCCAAAAAATTGGACTGTACGCAAAACCATAGTGCTTTCTTTGTTAAGTATGCGATTTATAAGAGATCACTACAATCATCCATTTCCCCGTAGTTTTCACCCATTTCTTCGTAGTTTCTAAAAACGATCAAACACTCTTAACTTTTTTCTACTTAAGCATGGGCATAACCTATTGCCATAACCTGTTTTTTTTTAATTAAACCTTTAAAATCAGATTTAGCTAGTAGTTTTTTAGAAGTCATTTTCGAGAGTAGTGAAGAAATTAAAAAAAGACGGTAAAAGTTTCTAAAAAGTACTTTTTCGAAGTCCATGCCGGCTTTTCCGCAAAGTCATAACTTTCTTTTTCTATAAAAATAAGGTCGTAGCCATTTATGCAGGGAAAACTTCTACCAACTTTTCTTGCGATTGAACCTTTAGTCTCAGATTTGGCAAGAAATTATCGAGAAAAGTTTTTAAACTTGACCAAACTGTCAAAGCTTGTTTGAGTCCATAATTTTTTTCTACCATATTTAGGGAATAGCCGCTTATGAAGGGCGGAGATCCCCAGGGCAGCGATCGGGGGCTAAAAACGTTCGAGCACCAATAGAGCGGACGCAGTACATGCTATTAAATTGCCCATTCAAAATGCCGAAAAACGCATCATTTTCTTATGCACTATTGTATGTAGGCTGCGTCGCGGAAAATGGACTGAGTGCATATGACTAAATAAACAAAAAAACAGAAGAAAAAACAAAAAAATCCATTTTTTTTCAACTTTTTTGCAGAATTTTTGATTCCTAAATGGCATTAATAATAAACCAATTTACTTCAGTAAAATCAAAACTTAAGCATAAATAAGCTATTGTTAACGTCCTAAATTAAGCATAAGTAAGCATTCTCGCTCCCTTTACTGGCTCGAATTTAGACGAAAAACCGAAATTTTCCAACCACTAAGTTTTTGAATTTAAATAATCTTTTGCGATCGCCTCTTTTTTATACAACTGGTTCAAATTAAGAAAACTGGATTGAAAGATAAATTATTCGGTTGGAAAATAAAAAAATTCAATCACTTTTTTCGCTCCAATTGCATTCGCTCCAATTTCAATTGAACTCAAAAAGTGCATATATACCCAAGTGCATTCAAAAACGCATTAATATGAATGAATGCACATTTGTAATTATAAGAGCATTTTAAGACATTTTCCAGAAAAACAAAAATACACCAAAACCTAGAAAAAAGTCTTCACTGCGTTCATTACTGTGAATAAACACCGATTATATTCATCAAAATTGCGTATAAATTATGCATTTCAAAAATGCATAAAAGTTGGAAATTTTCTGAAATGGGATTTTAACCATTACATTACTTATAAAACCAAAGTACTTTTTCTGGTTCAATTTTTGAACGAAGAAAGCATCAACTGTGTTACCCTTGTTCCAGTCAAATGTCAAAGCACATGCTATTATAATGTTAAATCAGCTTAACTGATTCAAAATTTACACCAAAAGCCGCACTTTTATTTGCAAATTAGGTTGGAAAAAAGTTGCATCGTATTTCTACACTACGCTACGCTCCTGTAATCAAATAAATCAGAAATTAAAAATCCTATTTGAACCAAATAGAAACATGTCAATGCACTCAAGCAGACCAAAAAATGAATGATCAAATTTCAAAGAAATAAAACCACCCCCTGAAAGCTCTTTTAATTTCATGAATCTTTAATGGCAGGCACTTTTTTGACAAAAATATCCGTAAATAAGAAATCGGAATTCAAAAAATAGTTCAATTTTTGACTCCGCTTCAAATCTTTGAACTAAATTCACAATTGACTCTTTGAATTAAAATTCACAACTGACACTTATTAAAGTCATGCTACTTTCACCCTGCGATTTTCACTTTCAAACTCAGATACAATTTTTAGCGCTCCTCTTCGAAAATGAAATCCTGCTCCAATTGACAAGTAATTTTTTCCTTAAGCAAAAAACAAGAATTACACGACCTAAATGAAGCGAAAGTTCCCTTCGATGAATACTGAAGTACACTGCTATCAACTTGCATAAAAAAGCAATTTCAATGTTTTAATTTTTTGCATATACACTTTATTACAATTTAACATTTCTATTCACAATAACAAAACATGTTTTTGCAGTAAGATTTATAAAAGAAAAGAAATTGGATTTATACACAGGTTCAACAGGATTTCAGTTTTTATTCATTCTCAACAGGTGTTTCTAAATTATCGACGAGAATCGAATCCACGCTCATATACAAATGTAAGAAGTAAAACTATCCGAATTTAGTTTGATTCCAATTGAGTCATTTACAACTTTTCTTTCTATACATTTTTTACAGAATTCTACAGCCCAGTTTTCTACAGAATACACTTGTGAAATATGAGTGCTAGGGACGTCACAGCAAGCAGATGATGACACAGACTATAGAAGTGTCTTGGTGCAGTGTTGACTAGGAATGGATAGAAGAAGTCGTAGGGGATGTCTGTTTCGATGGGGGGAATTTTCCTGACTGCCCCCTGCGTGTCTTCGGACACATCCACGAAGTTCACTATCACCTGACCATGAATGTCCATAGTTAATCCCTCCCCACTGCATTGCACGCCACACTGCAACAAAACAAACACATTTGCACCTCACATTCTGTTTAACCGCCAGAAAAAAAATTTGCCATTTTTCATGCCCCAACTTATACGAAAAAAAGGTGCAAACCAAATGGTCCATGACAAACATTTTCGGTCCTCATATTTAACCTTGTAAAACCTCTCGTTACACCATAAAATCAATGCCTAAGCGAGTTAGGAAACCAAAAATATTTTAGAAGTTGAACAGAGACTTGCGATACATAACAAAAATCAAATTACAATTTTGAAATACTTAAAATCAGATGAACTGGAGAATCAATCAAAAAATGCAAAATGAAAATGGCGATTACAACACAAGAAGTTGACAACCTAAAAACCCGCCAGATTTCATTGTGTTTAACATGAATAACAGACCCAAAAAAAATCACACAGAGGCAAAGCTGAATCTATCAAAATGAATGAAGGTAGTCGTTAAAAAATATGCCCCAACAATAGAATGCAAAATCAGCATCAGAACAAAATTAACCAGTCGGTGACATTTTTTTTTTCAAAACTCAAGCTAACTTGAAGTTTTTTAAAAGCCGAAATCTATTAAGCGGAAAAAATGAGTTTTAACAAACCGAGCGGTAGAAATACAACCAACTTAAAAACTGAGGAAGGTACGATAAAAAATGTGTATCCCTTGAAACGACCCAAAATTAGGTCACTAAGCCGATAAAACTAGGCAAAATGATTGGGGCCGAATAGTTTTTAAGCGAAATTTAAAAAAATACGAAGTCAAGGCAAGTAAAATTACAAAATTGCGGGAGTAAATCAAACACTAAAAACAACCCTAGAAAACCTTAAGAAACATGCGAGCAGCAAAAAGAAAACAATTCCAAGATGAGGCAACTATGCCGACAAAATATTAGCAGTCAAATAAATGTCTGACAATTTTATTTGAAAAATTTCCCGACCAGAACCTTTGCCATCCCAGGCGTATCACTAGAGATGATTCCAGAAGTCCAGATGAGTCCTGTAAACAAAGGTATATACAAGAAAAAAGTCGAGTACCCGATTGCAATACCCTTGCTTATCGCCAGGGTAATAAGCTTTGTTATGAATAGACTTTTTAAAATTCGAATTTATAGATTAAAAAAACGGATTCCACCTAACGATCCAATTTCCGAAGCCTAAAATATAAAATGCGAACAAATTTAATCCGCAACCATAAATAGATTCGTTTTTTGCGTTTGAATAAATTTTGTGCTTAATAGCCTGTAAAATTGAAATCAACCAAGTCGAAAAAAAATCATCAAAGAAAAAAACTTAGCAATAGTAAGAACATAAAAACCATCAAACCAAGAAATAGCAAAAGTTGTCCAAAATCGTATTTAGAGTTTTCTTAAAGAGATGAATAGTAAAAAAATCGAGAGTATGATGTGGTTATGGTAACTGACGTTGAAGGAGTAGTCAGCACTATAGGTCTCTCGCCTTGCGCCCACTATCTTCGCCTGAGGAGACTTCAGCTGGCCCACATTGGCGAAGAAAATGATGAGTTTGTATGTCGTCGCCAATCTACATCCTCCGCTCACAAACTGCAATAATCACAACTGGCCTAGTTATAATTACAGCCACTACACATGAACATCTCAAGGCGCCCGGAAGGAACACTCCCCCCCCCCCCCTAAATCCGCTACTGTTCTTCTTAGTTCGAAAATTGTTTTTAACCTCCCCCTTTGTACTATTTTTTGATATCCATTCTTGGATGATATCCATTCCACCTTAATATTTTCTTAAGGCGCCAATCTATAATGATTTTGAGGGGGGAGCGCGCGCTGAAAAAAAACGCAATTTATTGGTCGAAATTTTCCAAAAACTGCCTAAAAACGCTTTTTTTTTCAAAAATTTGCCAGCGACGCAGAAAATTTGGTCAAATTAGGACAATTTTAGAGGTTTGAGAGAGCTCAGAAAATCAATTTGGTCGACCTAAAAAAAGGTCGACAAAACTTTCAATTTTTTTTTTTGAAAATCGCCCCCTCCCTCGAGAAATTCCTAGATCCGCGCCTGAAGTCGAACAAATACACCCATCTTAAATCCATTTCAAACCCAAGAAAGCAATCTGATTGACTCTTTCACATATCCAATGCAATTCGGGAAAAAACAACTATTCTTCAAAACACCAGCTACCTATAAAGCATGCGCTGCAAAAGGATACTAAAATTCAGCACTTTGCTGAGCAAGCACCAATTTATGCGATCTTGATTGAAAAAAGAGTAACTCGTATTATTTAAAAAAAGCCAGCGTTTGCTAGTAAAAACTAGCGTATTAAAGTGTCTCATACCGAGCCGGTCTCCGCGGTTGTTGTGGGCTTGATGGATACCCAGTCGCCGGGTAAACTGCTGTCAGTGTTTCCGAACTGAGCCAACACCACTTCGTCCGAGAGAGTCCACAGTCCTTGGGTGAGTTGGTCCTGGATTGCTTCGCACGCAGCCTGACTCTCACTCAAGTTCGCTCGACTCACTCTGACAAACAAACGGAGCTATGGAATAGGAAGTATTTTTGTCACGCAAAATCAACTACCCCAAAGATCACTCTTAGGACAACCAGTGCCACACCATAATCAACCTTTCAGGCGTTATTATGATTCCAAAGAGCTCCTATAGTTCTCGGCGTCGAGAAACTGTTGTCTTGCGCCTTAAATGCTTTCTTTTGTTTGCGAAATTTTAATTAAAAAGGTCTTCAAATTCAAGTGTTCTAACGTTACGTGGCACCCAGAAACCGTGTTGTATCCGAATCGCACATCCACAGTAGACGTGCCCACCCCACATTGAGCAGCAGGTGACGTAATAGACAGGTAGGGATCTTGTTCATTCACCACCACACTCGTCTCAGTCTCATCTGTCACTGGGTCAGTGGTCACTACCACAACTCCCTTTCTGATCTCAAGTCCACGCTGGAATCCCGGGTTCCCACTCCGTTTAGTTCCAGTCTCATTCAGCGCCTATACATCAAACATTCCAAAATCAAACAATTCATATAAAAAATCACTTTCAAATTGTTTGCAACATATTATTCTCGGTCAACGTTTCTGAATCAATCTATACGACAGATCACACAAAATAATCCTAATTTTTATACGCACTATACTACAACTCAGTTTTTTAATATGCGTAATACGAAAAATTTTACCGAATCAGATTCGATGCTCGTTATCTTTGATATAAATTAATTGCTTTCAACTTCTCTCTTATCCATACAAACATTTGTGTAAAAACGGCTAAAGGAACAAACTAATATTAAACATTTGAGCTGACTGTGTTATTCAATATTTTTTGTAATTGAAAATTTGAGACATCTTTAGTTCTTCTCGTGGCTTAAATTGATTCGCAAAATGTGGCTTCTCGTTGCAAGCTATTCAAAAGATTAAATGATGAAATATTTTAACCTATTTTGATACAAGAATTGAGTAATTAAAAGTCAACTACTTAAATGCGCTGGACATATATCTCGCCAAGTTCAAGCTTCTTCGTCGTAGTCGGTTTCAATGTTCAAGCACGACCTATCTCGCCGAGTTTAAATTATCTACTAAGTTTTGGATATTACTGAACAAGTTACGCAGAATTATTCTGGTTGTATTAAGTAAGCATGTATCAAAAGCAAGTTTAAGGGAGTAGCACATTAAGTATTTGCCCATCTCTTTTTAAATGATGATTCTTTGAAAAATTAGTTTAAAAGATTATTCTAAAGATAATAATTTGACCATTTTCAGGAACTATCAATTTTCTGTTTAATTTGCCTTGATGGCTCGATGGTTTCCAAAGAGATGGCTCGATGACTCCCAAAGCTTTCGACCATAAAAGTTATACGCCTGTTAGGCAGGTATGCGAGTGGAGTCTCAGGCATCACTCTTTCTGATCATTTAAATATAATTCAGTAAACCGAAAGAAAATTTGCTTCATTTGATCTAACCTACTTGATAATTCAATTCACATCGAGGCAAAAAACTGAATGACTCTGAGGCTTCTTCTAGATTGCGTGACCCAGCGCATTTACTGGGATCCTTCTATCGCACATTTAATTCCTATTCCGCGTAGCAAGAACAGAAAATACACACCGACACTGGGTGCTAATTTAGGAATAACTACAATGCGCTGGAACATATTGAAAACTTGATGTTGAAATTTATCTTGCTTCGCCCTGGGCTTCCCTACATTCCCCAATTTCTCCGCTGCACTACCATGCTTTGCGTTGCTCTGTCCTAAGCTACCTTGCATTGCCCATTATTGCCTTGTGCTGCCGTTTGCCTTGCGTTGCCTTGTTACCGCTGCCTTAAGGTGAGCTGCGCGTCTCTGCCTTGCTTCGCGTTACTTGACATGTTCCTTGCACTGCCCTGCCTTGCTTAATCTATTGCTGCCATGCGCTGCCTTTATGCGCTAGCGTGCATTACACTGCCTTTCCTGCTCTGACTTGCCTTGCGCTTCCCTGCTTTGCTCTGCCCTACCTTGCAGCGATTGCCTGCCCTGCCTTGCTTTGCTCTGCCCTGCCATGCTCCTCCTTCGGTGCCTTGATCTACCTGTCATTGTCTTCCGCTGCCTGCCTTTTTTCGCGTTGCACTGTACTGCGTTTCACTACCGTGAATTGCCTTGCCCTGCTCTGCCTTACCTTGCACGGCCTTGCCTTGCTTCGCGCTGCCCTGCCGTACTCCTCCTTGCCTAGCCCTACCCCTTCTCTGATCTGCCGCCTCCGTCTTTTCTCTGATCTGCCTTTCTTTGCGCTGCCCTGCTTTGCGCTTCCCTTTCTTGTTTTCCGCCTCTTTTGCGCCGCCCTGCCATGCTCCAACCTTGCCCCTTATCGGCTAATCTTGCCCCTTCTTCCGCTGTCCTGCGCTGCCTCGCTTTCAAATTAGCTGCCTAGCCTTGGGCTACCATGACGTCTACTTCCATGCCTTACCTTGCGCTACCTTGCCCCTCCTTGCCTTGCGCTGCCCTGCCTTCAGCTGCCTTTATTGCCTATCCCCTTGCCTTACGATGCTTTGACCTCTCCTTGCCTTGCGCTCAAAACTTCAAGACAATCTGTCTAGACATTTGCACTTGACCTTTCTAAGCTCGCTTCATCTTACAATTTAAACGCTATGATTTCTTAAACGCTACGAGTGGCGAGGTTTTAAACATGGCGCCCATAGCAACTCAGAACGACTTGCAAATAAATATTTTATTCGCACTATACGACAACTCATATTTTTCACAAGACACCCACTTATACACAGATTCTTGCCTTCTTTTACATAAAGGCGGAGCTGCGCAAACACTACTAAGAACAAAAAAGTAGCTCTGTGAAGTGCAATAAGAAAAGTAGAAATAAGGCTCGAATAAGTAAAAAACAATCGGCTGCGTTTCGATCCTGCGACCTAGAGATTATTAGTATGATGAACAGAGCACTCAGCCACAGAAGCTTAATTAATGAACAGCACTAGCCACTAATAAAGCGAGAACAGGTGCTATGAAATTTTTAATGCTACAGTAAAATTTCCAAATAAGTGAACACTTTTAATGAACACTTATATTTGCGAGTAAGGCGGTAAAAAAGAAGGTTAGAACTAATACACTACGCTCACACTAGCCACCACTGTAATAAAGAATAAAGACTGCCATAAAGAATTCAGACTTTTTCCTTGAAATTTTTTTTAAGAAACCACTACCTATGAAAGTGTCTGAACTACGTTTATTGGAATTAAAAATTACCTACAATGGAATTAAAAAGATATCCAAAAAAGAGATCTACTAAGATCTGGTAGGAAATTCAGTTTGAGGAAAGCATGAGAAAAACCACAATTACCAGTGATGAACCAGCATTGGAACAAAAATGATGTAGATTTAACTACGCCGACAATACTTGGGACGACGCCCGTTGCCCGAAGAAATTGTTGCCAAAAACTGTTAACTACAAGCCAATTTTGAAAATTCAGTTTCAATCCCCGAAGAAAGGACAGGTATGAGAAACTTTTTCCGTTCATCAAGCGACTCAATATGATGCAACTGAGCCAAAAAAAGACCTTTATTTGAAATGCTATCATGCTGAAAATAAGTATGTTGGCCAGGTCTTTTGGGACCAGGAGGCCTCAAAGGAGAGATCTGTGGACAAAGTTATAACGAGGGAGAAGTCTATTACACGGAGACATGGCAATACGGTTGCTTATCGCACAGGCAAAAAAAATCGAGATACTTCCTTCTATAATTTCTGCCGAGTACTTTAAGTAATTGGAATAAAAGCAATCCAATCTGAAAAAAAAAACTCGAACGTCTTTTAAAGTATTCCTCTCGGTGGTAAAAATTACTTCTATACATATCGCGCACTGAAAAGACGAAGAATGCTTAAGGAACAAACATTTAGGAAGAGGACTTCAATATTGCGAGAGAGAGTGAGCGGTTGGGAGGTGACAGCAGCAGGGTCCAATGACAGTGTTTGTAGAGTGACGTCAACAGCTACTTGACCAATCACACTTCCGCTGTAGACTACCTTGTATGTCACCTGAACACACATTCCAAATGGAGTGAGTAGTTAACACAACACAAAACAACACAACTCATAACAATTTTCACGGGTATTTTCTATTATACGGCCCAAAATTATAAGACTGTTAATTGAGCTTCTGTTTTCATTGAAATCCAAGATTTATTTTAGCTGATATGAATTTCAACCAATCAGATTCGAGCATTATGATCAAACTTTTAAAGAAGAAAAATGATCAGTTTTTGGGCCGTACACTAGAAAAGACCCTATTTGACTATTTCGTATCTTTTCTATTTTCTTTAGTCGTACACAACAGCATTACTCGCCTCAGTCTCAAATCTACTACTAATCATCCCAATTAACAAGAGTTGTAAAAGGGGACTGACGTCTTTGACTATGTTACTGCAGGTGTCTGTGGCGTCATCGAAGAGGGTGTCGAGATAGAGAGAGATGTTGCCAGTCACACTGTTCAAAGCCTCATCACATTCTAACAGACAAAAAAATGAAATGATAGTAACTAGATTTCTGGTCTAAGTGTGCTAGAGGGGACCCGGTAAAATCCGCGTCTAGGACAACAAGCCGACGGGACTTAAGGCCGAAATTTAAACTTTACAACCACCTCAAATCACTACTTTTTCATCTGTAAAACAATTCGGCTTCAAGTCCCGTCGGCTTGATGTCCGGCACCCGTAAAATCCAAGTGTGAGAGAGGGATGCCAAATCAGACTAACTTCAGCAAATACCGCAATTAACTAACTCAAAATGAGTCGTTCCGTCGTTTAAAAACTTTTTCTCAAACGAAGCTAACCTGCCTCATTCGCGCAAACTTATTCAATACTTTGAGTGACATCATCAAAGCACGAAATCGAACAATTTTGACGCACTCATTTTACATTAAGGACCCAGTTAGTTTCTTTGGACCCCTCTATCACACTTGTAATTCTCAATGGACATGAAGCAGCAGATTATTCTTAAGCACAAGTATATGTTGCGAGCGGGGGGACTGCAGATTTCTCAGAATTTTAAAACACAACCAGGCAACAATGTAACTTTCAGCTGTACCATCTAAGCATAGAAAAAAGTGTAGTTGTAGAAGTGTGTGTGGAGTAAACACTATACCTGAATCAGGCGTGATTCTGATGCATCTCACGAAGACACTTGTGAGGTTGGAACTAGAGTCGTACACAGACGAGATTGTGGCCGAATCGTTTCTGCAAAAAAACGAGAGAGAAATTACACCAAACTAAATAATAACTATCACTTGAACAGAACCAAGAAGGGAACTTAACTTACAGGTCAACTTGTGAGAAGAACTGGGTGTCCTAAAGAGAAAGTATATACTTCATTAATTAATTTCTAGGCCTTCTATTTAAAGCGTATTGTTGCATTTGTTGTGTACACTGACTGAAACTTTTCCTTCTTCTCACCTGAACGACTTTGAAGCCCGTGATGAAGTTGTTGAGACGCCACCCACTGTCTGGATTGGAACACGTGGTCTCCAATTCACTCTCGGCAACAATCACCTCACACTCCTTACTCCACTCAGTCAAATACTCTAAAATATTAGAGAAAAACAACTACAACCATGTCCAAAAACTATTTTTTCATAAGCATAATCGCGAAGACATTTGCTCATGGAGACAGACATGTTTATTTCAAAACTGCAGAAATCAACCTAACATCAAATGAACTTTGGAAAAACTGGAACCACAACTCTTTTTGGTGCTAACCTAAATTCGGTTTTATGATTATTACTGTTATAATTATAAGTGCCATCGAACATCATAGAACACCGACCAAAAGCAATCATATTTCTCTAACTATTTGCTATCAACACATCCCATCCAGAGTTCTCATCAGATTCATTTTCCGCATTTTTCTTAGGCCATCGCCGACTTTACAAATGAAAACAAAACGTTTTACACAACTCAAATATGGTTTCAAAAATTTCTCTTTAGGGTTTATATAATATGGTTTTAAAAAATGCTTAATAGCATGTCGACTCGATCGTATCTAGAAAACAGGTTAAATCTAAGATTTGTCAGTATGTTGTTGTAAGATAAATTTAAAGAAGTCATGAAAGGGAATATTTCATGAAGAACAATTTACTCCTGAAAACTTTAATACAAATTAATACAATTCTGCGTCTAGAAATTGATGTGATGAAGTTATTATTCAGATCGATTTGTATTGACGAGCCGGATACGTGTTATCTTAGGTCAGCCCTTTGTTAAAAGGAGGACAAAGTTTAGTTGATCCAATTTTCTCATATTGGGCAAATCTAATCAATTTTTTCAATCAGGATTGCTCTGAAATGAGCTGGCTCATTTTCTGTTATTCTTTTTTCTATAATATGCATGAAGGATCTCTATAATTCTTTCGTATACAAGGGCTGACCTAAGATAAAACGTATCCGGCTCGTCAATACAAATCGATCTGAATAATAACTTCATCACATCAATTTCTAGAAGCAGAATTGTATTAATTTGTATTAAAGTTTTCAGGAGTAAATTGTTCTTCATGAAATTATTTCCTTTGCTAAAAGGAAAGCAAACTCCACTATCGAACAGCAAAACGTGATCGACTTCTTGTTTCGAAAGTGGAGTTTAATTTTCAGATTTCCCAGCGAATAGAAAATCTTGTTCCAGTTTTCCCAGCGTATCGACTCTTGTTTCGAAAGTGGAGTTTAATTTTCAGATTTCCCAGCGAAAAGAAAATTTTGATATTGATCCAGTTCTCTCAAATTGGGCCAATTTAATAGATTTTTTCAATCAGGATTGCTCTTTTTTCTATAATATGCATGAAGGATCTCATAAATTCTTTGATCCAGTGCAAGCGTACACGCGCTGTTTGAAAACTACAGAAATCAACCTAACCTCTAGTGAACTTTGGAAAAACTGGAACTCGGGAACCACAATTGCATTTGGTGCTAACCTAAATTCGGTTTTATTATGATTATTACTGTTATTATTATAAGTGCCATCGAATATCCTAGAACACCGACCAAAAGCAATCATATTTCTCTAACTATAATAACTACTGAATAATAACTTCATCGCATCAGTTTGGCCCAATTTGAGAAAACTGGATCAAATAAAACTGCAGAAAACTGCAGTGTACACTTTCATTACGCGTGTGCGCTTGCACTAGATCAAAGAATTTTAGAGATCCTTCATGCATATTATAGAAAAAAGAATATCAGAAAATGAGCCAGCTCATTTCAGAGCAATCCTGATTGAAAAAATCAATTAAATTGGCCCAATTTGAGAAAACTGGATCAATAGTAAAATTTTCTATTCGCTGGGAAATCTGAAAATTAAACTCCATTTTCGAAACAAGAAGTCGATCACTTTTTGCTGTTCGATAGTGGAGTTTGCCTTCCTTTTAGCAAAGGAAATACACTGATTTTAAAAAGAAATCAAAAGTCAAACCGCGAAAAAATAAATTGAGACTGAACAAATCAAGACTTTTCCTAGAAAAACAAAAAAATCATCGCAACCCATATAAGAGTCTGAACTACGTTCACGGACTCCTAATCATTGCCAAAACACACGTTGGACACTTTGAACGGAGTTGCTCTGATTGCAGCCCTTCATGTAAAAAAAAATAACTTCAAAAACTGTAGGATCCTTCAATTTTGATCTGAAAAGTAGACGCTGCAGTAAATCTAGTGCTTTTGTTCAATTCTAGAGGAATATAGCTTGGATCAGATGGTTACAGAGAGAACTCATGAACAGATATTATCAATCGATTAACTTCAACAAATCCCGAATTTTGTTCTGCTGTTGATACAGAGCCTGTAGGTTCCTCTGATCAGCATTCGTTATCTATCGCTTATGATTGTCAATGTATACCCAAGGAGAATGATAGGAAGAGCACTGACTAGAAAAACTTCGTCAATAATCTTGATCAAAAATTAGTTTCAAATCAGAACATCAGTGATGCGAACAAAATAACAAACTTTCATTGAAAACCTACAACTACTTAAAAACAAATTATATTCCCATAAAAACTAAGGGTGTCAAAAACAGAATAATAAATTAAGCGATAAAAAGTTTCCGATGCTGCTAAACCAATCATATCTTATCTGCAAAACAGATTATAATAATTGACACTTGCGAACCCAGTAAGTCCCTGTAAGATTTTCTGAACAAGTTTACGCTGATGAAACTACTTTAAAATGTGAGCCCTCTGGTCTGAATGGATGCAAAACAAAAGTTTTGGTTTTTTTGTGCTTCTTGAATCAAAAGTCAAGTTATCGATTTAAAAAAAAACAGAACCTAGAAATTTGAACAGTCAGTATGCTTATTAAAGAGCCAATTGTGAAATTACGAATGCGATTGCTGGGCTTCCTCATTGAACGATCTATGTTAATAAGAAAACAATGTGAATCCGTTTGCCGCTCCTGTTATTATAGCCATCGAAAACTTTACTGTATTCGTTGTATCTAGATTTTGGAAAGAAAAAAGGCTAGAAACAATGCTAGTGTTGAGTCATTTGGACTATTGTAACTGCTTTCATCAAGTTGAGCAGATGATTTACAGAAAAAGTTTCTAGAAAATTCAAAATGTACCTGCCGATAGTCTTTTTCAAGGCTTTATCTAATTTACATAAATGTCTCTTCAGTCCACAGTTTAATTCATTATTTTTCAGTGATTACAATTTCCTACAAAAAAGGTCATCCTTCTTTAGTCAAAAAACCAAAACAATTAGAAAAACTATTAATAAATAGTGTTTTAGCAAAACTATTATTTAGACTCACCAGAGCAAATCACATGAACCGTTTGCCCTCTGATATTACATTATCAAATGAGATAGAACTTCGCATACGTCTGTTCGAGATTGATATAATGAGCGCATCTGGAAAATCGGAAGTCCGCAAGCTCAATGAAACCTTACAATTAAAACATTTTCAAATTGAAATGTGGTTTTTCCGAAAAGGCGCATCATAAAAAACAACAGTGATGACAGAGTTAAATGAACATTGCTAGGGCGTCATCGGTAAACTGATTTCTGAACCAAAACCGGCATCAATGTCTTGTTCGGTTGGAACTCTCGCGACCCTCTGTTTCGATGAAGCTTTCAACAATCTCAACAACCGAACCGTCTTTATCCTGGGTGGCACCAACAACTTAATCGACCGAGCAGGCAAGTTTGAGTAGTAGTGGGAATGAAAAGGCTGTTTTTAAGCTCATGGCTGAAACTTTAAAATTTTATAGCACTCCTCATTCGTGGCTTCAAAATTTCCCTAATTAGGAAGGTCAACAATTGCTCAAGCAATCTGACAGGATGGCGTAGGATCCTATGATTCAAAACAGTAAAGTTAGCAAAGGATTTCTTCTACGCTATCAGAAAGATTGAAAATCCTAGGAACACCTATTTAATTCTGTTCCATTTACAGAGCGAATGATTGGCAACTAAAATGAAACAGACTATTTTTGGTAGGAGCGAACTACAAAAAAACCTTTGCACTCAGTTGTGAAGCGGAGCTTCGCAACAATTCCGATACACCACAAACTTCGCAATGCAAAATAGTGAGGAGAAAAAGAGAAGTCGAAACTTTTTTTTGCAAAATGAGTACTTGAACAAAAGAATATTTCACACCTTGGAAAAAAATCAAAAAAAATCTGAAAAAGCATTTAAGTGGAGTTTGGCTTCCTCTCAACAGAGGAATTTAACTGAACTTGAAATAAAATCAGAAGCCAAAGTTCGAAAGATCAAATCTGATCGTGAACGACTTTGCCACAGAGGCGAAGCCGATCTTCGTGCCATTTCTGAAACCACATAAGCATGAACCCAGCACTGCAAACACGCAGACAAATGAAAAAAGCCAAAAACAAAAAAATTATAGCTAAAAAGATGGGAAAAGTATAAAAGAACTAGGAAACCGAAATATATACTGAAAAACTGATTAAAGATTTGAAGCAAAAAATAGACCACGTTAAAGCGCTTTGAATTCCAAGAACTGGATGGACCCCGGATGGACCCTGTTATTGGGTCGGACCTCGTTAAACCGGAAACAAAACTTTGCATAAAAAGTTTTATGGCCAATTCCCCCTGAATCCCACAAAAGTCAATATTTTTTTCCTATAATTAGAAGCGGTGCCATATAGGATGATCCTGCCGATTTAACATAAGCCGAAAAAAATTGAGACAATTAGGTATTAATAAAATTAATCAAAACCAGAATTTTACAAATTAGAAAACAACTTTCAATTTTAGTATAAACGGGTTTAATTTAAATAGAAACCATTCTTTAGAAATTAGATTGCTTAAAACGTGCAAAATAATAAAAATTGCATTTGAAAAAAATGAGCCGACGGAAATTAGGGCGAAAGCCTGGAATCCAAAAAAAAATCTTTTTTTTTTCAATTTTAGTTCAAAAAAAAATATTTAGTTCTTACAATGAATTACATTTTTTTTGAATTTTCAAGAAACTGAGCATGTCAGCGCAGCCTTCACTTGGAACTATCAGCAGCAACTTGTCACAAAAACTGTGCACGGAAAAAAAGTTTTGTTTCCGATGGCTAGTTTAGTTCGTTTAAAAGTTTAGTTCCCGAAGTATTGCAAAAGTGCGTAAAAAGATACAAAACGCGATATTAAAAGGTTGCTCCACAAATTTCTAAATGAAATTGCAACAAAACTGTCATTAACATTAAACGATGAGCATCATGTGTATGGTTTCAGTCCATGGCATGCAGTGTGCCTGTTGCACTTTGATATACGCATGTTGTTTGTCTCTTACTGATTTGATTGACATCCACGCAGGTGCGAGAGAACAGACCAGGTCCGATGGTGCTCAATGTTCCAACGAGACTACCATTCTGCCTCACCGCGTAGATGTCAGAACCATACTGAAATGAAATTACACAACTATTTGTTTTGCAAAATAAACATCTGTTGTACCACTCCTTGAAAAGGGAGAAACCGTCTTGAAATATGGAACCTGTAATTTTTAGGACTGGAAAAACATGCTGATTTTGTTACAAAGTTAACCGAGTCAGCAATTTCCATGGTGGCATTAATTTACCATTATATTTCCATAGTGGCATTAAAATAACTGACTAGTTTCAATTAAGGAAAAAACAGGATGCGAACTAACCCTGTATGGAACGGCAGCGGGATTGGAAGTTGGGGAGTTGACAGCGATCACTTGTCTAGAGTACTGATTGACATAAGAGTCGAACTGGTTGACAGTACTAACTGTCGGCACAGTTCGGAAGAAATTCCTTTCGGCATCTTTAATCAGAAAAGGAAAAAAAATTACATCGTCATTTGTACCAAAATTACAAGAAGCTGAATAAAATTACTGTTGTCCTTCCACAGGCAGAAGAGGTTCGAATCCGTAGTCTCTGTCACCTCGTATTCAGAGTTGTCAGTCACCACTAATTCTTTCCGCACGCAAGAAACTTCCTCGCTAAAAACAAACTTTTAATACTCCTAATAAGGTATACTTTAAAAAAGCTAACGTAGCCATCGCCAATGGACTGTTGAAAAACCGTTAGAAACCCAACATAAAAATTAAAGAAAAGGATTTATATCATTATCCAGTGAGAAAGCAAAAAACGAAGGACATGTTTTCAGGCTATTACCGTTGTTGGTGATAGATTAAAGTATTTAAAATTTGTTTCAAAAGCCATATTTTTGACAAAAGAATAGTAAAATTTGAATTTTTGAATAGAATTTCATCTGAAAGATTAATGTTCTGAGAAAAATAGGTACAAGTATGATTGTTAGGTCTTAAATTGAGATGCGTGCCAAAGAAACATTTTCAGACCTTATAATCTTCAAATTCGAAACATTAGTTGTACCTATTATACTTGTACCAAAAAATTTTCTTATTAGCATGCACAATTAATTGAAACTGAAATGACTATATTATGCATGATAGTTCATAAATTTAATGCATGCACTATACTCAACTAGCTCTCAAAATTACCACCTCTTGTAAAATTTCACCCAACAAGCCGACAAAACATAAGCAGACAATCTATAGGCCGACATTTTTTGGGAGAAGAATAATTGCAGTTTGAAGAAAAAACACAGTCTCTGGTCAGATTCAAACCCACGACCTTATCCGTCCAAGGCGTATTCTCGACCTCCAGTCTAAGTGCCGGACATGCATAGAACTTTAAATCCATTTAGGGCCAAGATACAAGTGGTTCTGTTAAACCAGTTGTTAACTCAAAAATAAGTCTATTGCGGTTTGATAACGCTTGCTTATCGCAAGCGTAAAGAAAAGTTGATAACGGGAAAAAGTCTAGTACCCGATTACAAGCCACTTGCTCTCGTGAAATGAATCGAAAAAATTGTACTTTTTGAAACGCTTAAATTATAGAACTGTGACATTGATAAGCTGCTTTGCGTCTGGACAAATAATGTTTTCTCAACCGAATGTTAATTTAAGTCTGCAGACAATTTTCAGGCAATTTGCACGCAAATTATGGTCTAAATTCAGTTACTTTCGGATCGTCTAATTTGCTTTTGTTTTAATTTCTTAACCCCAATTAATTTCTACAATCATGGCGCTTTTTGCACAGCGAATAGTCAACTACTTCATTTATCAAAAGTCGCCATATTTTTCATTGCTGCAGTGTGACAATACTATTGCGAAAAAAGTACAACAAAGCACTGCCAAGAACTCCTGATAAGATCCCAGTCCATTGGTTCTTCGATGCACACAACAATTGTAGAGTCCATGAGCATTAAATTGAGAACACAATAGAGTTCAATAAGTGACAAAACTGTGTGGTTAAAAATTCAAGTAACTTAAAATGCTTACTTGATTCGCACGATGTTTGGCTCATCAAACACATTTCGGTCTTCCTCTGAGCAATCAGGGTCACAGAAGCAGTTGATGTCGCATCGTGTTTCGGTTAAATCACACAAACAGTTATCACTGATGTTTTCATCTGTCTGCGTAAGAGCAGTAGGGCTGAGGAAAATGCAAACTAGGCATAGCAGCACTGCTTGCAAAAGTGACATTATACTCTGAAATAAATGATAAATTGTCACTTAAATTAACCAGCCGTATCGTTGGCTAGTACGAAAGGGTTCAGCGCCAGGAAACTATCAACTGTACTTTTTAACGTCCTAACGTTCAGTGACAATTTAAATGTGGTTCAAGGGGAATTTCCTGTTCAAATAAGGAACGATTTACTGTTTGTATGCCGCCACCAAAAATCACCCACCCTTGAACAAATTGGCTTTATTACTCTATAAAAAGGTCTCGGGATACCTAAAAGAAACAAAGCTAAAAAAAAGTGTCTCCAAATATCTTTTGAAACCATTTTAAGATCCATTAGCACCGTTTGTGATACAATAAAATCTATCCATTAGAAGCATCCTGTTTGAGATAACCATATAAGGGCAACTAAAGAACGCTGCTACTAAATCAAACTCATTCAGCAACATGAACAGTTCACATTCATCTTTTTGACAGTCAGGGGTAATTGCCAATTTCCTCATTTATTTTGAAAAAGTGTCACACCTTCAAAGAAAATGAGACAAATTTTAGAACTTTGCAATTCCCCGCCCAAATTTAAATAAATATGTTCAATGAAAAATTTGTCATCAAAAAGGTCATGGCCGTCTGGCTCATATTCTTCGACTTCAAGAGGCGATAACTTCCCTGTTGTCTGCCTATCATTAGCATTTACAACTCTCACCACCCAGCTAAATTTATCTTTGTTTTAAATAAATGAAACTGCTTTCAAAGAATAATTTCGTGCTTACTGTCACCTTTTTCTCAGAAGTCGTCCCACTTTCTTCAAGTTTCGTTTCAGAGGTCCTGTTCATCAGGGAAAGAGTGGACTATTGTTTTAATAAAAAATAATAAGTAAATTAACAAACCTGAAAAACAAAGATATAAATGCCGCACGGATAGAACAGGAATGTAGTTTACTGCCTCAAGGATGCAGCCGGCGTTACCACGTCACTTCACATTTCTTCTGAACCAACAATAGACCCACGTCATCACAGGTTAACTTCTGATCTGTAGGCCTCTGTCGACCAGCTCTTTCTTGGAGGTCCATTTCGTCATTCCAAAAACGATGCGTTATATTTCAGACGCCCATAGTTTGTCTAGTCTTGATTCGAAAACGTGTACACTCTCGCTTGATACTGTTTCGGGTAACGAGTTCCAGTCGTTGACGGCTGCAACTGTAAAGAAATTTTGTCTAGCAGTAGTTCTGGTCTTCTTGGTCACAATCTTGAAAGGGTTTCTTCTTGTGTCTCTTTCGTTGATTGTAAAAATCCTTCAGTCGCTGCTATATCGTATAAACCGGTCAGAACTTTGAAGACTTCAATCATTCTACCGCGTTTGCGTCTTTCCTCGAGTGTTGGTAGTTTCAAAATTTGAAGTCGCTTCGAGTAGCTGTATTTGCGTATTTCTGGAATAAGTTTTGTTTCGCGTCGCTGAACATTTTCCATCTTAATTTTGTCTTTTTTAAGGTATGGATTCCATGCCTGATTTGCATACTCCAGATGTGTTCTTACTAAGGCTTTGTATAGGGTCGTTAGAATTTCAGAGGTCAGTTTCACGAACGTTTTCTTAATTATCGCGACTATACTGTATGCCACTTTTGTCTTTATGGCGATGTGCTCACGGTATTGTAATAATGAATCAACGATAACTCCCAGATCTTTCTCTGATTCATTTTTGCTTAGTTGTTTTCCGCCATTTAAGGTATAGTTCCGTTCAGATTGTTTCGTTCTTCCCTTTAGGGTGAGTGAATGACATTTTGTCAGACTGAACTTCATTAAACTGCCTTTAGCCCATTTGGAATTTTCATTCCGGTCAAATTGTAGTTTTTCCTCTTGAATCGCATCAGTAATTGATCTGAATAATTTGGCGTCATGTAACATTCGCCCGGAAGATACATATCGACGGAAAATGAAGCTAAGTTCTAAGACGACTGGCCAACGTCTAAACAGAGCTCTACATGCTTTTCACCGTCTCTACCAAGCCAGTACTTTCGGTGGTCTTTCTAACATCGGGTCGACAAAAACGTTACTGCTTTCGGCTTCGGTCAAAACGCGCAAAGTAACTAGATTACATGCAGAAATAAAGAGCTCATGTGTGGGTCTCAAAATCCCCAGACCACGTGATCACTCCTAAAATCAGGGCTACTACTATTTATTAAATTATTATTGTTTTTGTTCAGTAGATAAAAATCATCATCTCCATCGAAGATGGATCAACCCTTTTCCCTAACTCCTAGCTTCTCATCTTAGCAGAATGAATTCAGATGTTAATTAAATTCAACTCAGGACATGACAGGGAAGCTAAAAGTTTATGAAAAACACTATCAGTTCCAGTCCCGAGACCCCTCCGGATTCTCGAATCCGGGGAAATAAGACCTTTATCCTCCTCCCGGAAGGCTGTCTTCCACCCTTCACCGTTGTTCGCAACGGCCTTGCAACTATTGTAGCGACACAGTAGTTGCAACTCGGAACGGTCTCTGCTAACTCAGCAATTTGTCGTTGTTTTTCAATCACAATCTTCGTCGTTATCGCTATCGCAACTAATGTTGTTTTTGTGTTCTATTTCGGCTTTTCTGCCAAAATGGCCATTTCTGACGTTTCTCAGAAATATGACGTTATACTTCGAAAATTTAAAATTTCAAAATACCTGAATATCTTGACCTTCACCGTTTGACTAATCGTCCCAATAACTTTGTTAATCTCTTAAAACCGTCAATTCGGAAGGTTCGCTGCTAAAATTTCGAATCTGCTGAATCTGCATTTTGGCGCATTCTGGTCGAATGTCACATACTCGCCGGACAGTCCGGTCAATGTCCTAATTGAATCTCGCAATGTTCGTAAAATAGGTACAGTGCCATCGAACAGAACTTACGAAAAGCACGAAATCACTTTTACCCGCGTCACATCACCTCACTGCAGAATATAAATGGCATCATACTACATCAGTATAGCCTTCAAATTTCTTCATTAATCTGCACATTGAGGATTTGACCTAAGACAAAAAACACCTTTTCTGACTTCCAATGTCAATGTCCTGACTAAAAACTTTTTCTCCTAAATTTTTAGAGGATGTTGGTTTGCAGGACAGTCCTGCCAACCAACAAACTAAAATTATCCTACTATGCTCCTTCCCTTCGGAAATCTTGCTTGTTATTGTCCTGAACATTAAAACTTAGAATTTCTGTGATTAGAAAGAACAATGAAACAATCTCCCCCTTCAAGAGATTCTCCAAGTCTTTCATGTCACCACAAAGTGATCAGTCGTCCTCATTGATTAAAAACAATCATGCAGGCTGGAATATTTAAATATACTCTTCACTCAAGCCTTTCTAAATAAATATTAAGTGTCTCTAAAGCCACTTAACTAAAAATCAAAATGCAAATTTATAAATGCAACAATTTCTTTTATGTTCAAAACTCAACTAAATGTTTCAGTTTTCAATTACAACTTGGTTGCTTAGTCTCTCACTTGAGTTTTTTCACACACAAAACAATTCTGAGTTTTAACTTCTTCTTTTTCCGCATTTCTTTGTTTTTTTCTCTTTTCGTCGTTTAGAAGTTCTAAAACTTCTAAATTCTTCTAATTTTCCTTCTTTTTGCACCTTGTTCTTTCGACCATTCGTCAATGTTCTATCTCTTCCTCCTGTGATACTGACTCTGCACTTTCAGTTTCTGTGTCTTGCAACACATCATTAGCTATTCTGACGCTGCTGTTGGAAGCAGTCCTCCAACACTTCTGCTCTTCTACCCTCTGTTTGCAACAACGTAGGGGATCCACGTTAGATTCTCTGTTCCTGCAGAAGCTGTTGTGGAGACACAACGTCACATTTCTCTCCAAATCTTCCTTCAACATCTCTGCCTTCTCCTTTCCACTACGTTCACTTGACCTGGAAATCCTTTTCACAGCGGTGGTTACTGCATTCCGATGAGTCACGAAAGCTCGCTTGAAAGCTCCTGCTCCAATGTCCAGCTGATATTCACTGTACACTCTGCCGTGCTTCGACTTATGCTTCTTAGCATATTCGTACAACCATGCAGTCATGTTAGCTCTGAACCATGACATCAATCGTCTTCTTGTCCATATCTTCCTCACTTCCATCGGAATGTTTAGAATCTTGCACATTGTCTCAAAAAGATCTGAATCTTTCAGACAATCCAATTTCCGCAACTGTTCTCTCGTTGGCGCTTCCTGTCTATTGTTCTCTCTTACGTGAGCTTCCAGCCATCGTATTGCCATCATAACTCCCACTATCACTATTGCTATGGGCTGTGATGAGTCTGGTAAACCCATGGAGAGCAGCTCTCCAGAGTCCCAGATCAACACCAGATTACTACGCTCGGGAGCCACCAAGTCTGCAGCAAGCAGTGGCAGGGAAACTCATCATGTGTCAACATGATGCTCCTCCAATTGCGTTTTCCCGAAGCTTCCAGAGAGGGTTCCATTTCCATCATCACTCGGTGGACTTCATCATTCTCGTCTACTGTATTGTAATCTGTAACAGTTGATCCTCTCTGTTTCTGTCTCTCAAAGTCACTAAAGTTCCCACTCACGTATCCCATGAACTTCCTTCCCAGTATCGATTCCAACTCCTCCTTTGTTCTATCTGGAACTGCTGAGAACATCTAACATAGCAACTCGTAAGATTTTTCGGACATTCTCGTTAGTCTCACACACTTTGGCACTGAGAAGGCTTGATCCACGATCGTTCTCGTACCCTTTACATCCACAGCTACGAAATGCACCGGGTATCTGCTCTTGCACATTGGAGCCAATGTCGAGCCCACCAAATATCGTGCTCCTGATGGTCTACAATAAGTCTCACTGTGTCTGATGTTCATTTCCGCCTCGATCGCTTCCCTCCAATTTCCTATGTGTTTCTGCTCGGTTTGCAGAACTCCTGGGAATACTTCTACACTGATGGCAGTGACCATCTCATGTCTCTGTTCTAGATTCAATAGCGACTCTAAAGAACTAAACATGCTGTAGAATCCTAGAGCAGTCACT